TTTTTTTGTTTTTTTTTTTTTTTTTGAAAATCACTAAATTACATTTTCCATTTACAAAGCTTCTTCCCTTTTTGTGTGTTTGTGTTTTTTGTTTTGGGGGGCTTTTTTTGTTTTGGTTTTTGAGACAGGGTTTCTCTGTGGCTTTGGAGGCTGTCCTGGAACTAGCTCTTGTAGGCCAGGTGTCTCAAGCCCTTACCAAGTTTTGACCTGGGAGGAATGACAGACTCAGCGAGTTGGTTTTGAGTATGTAAGCTTTACTTCACACATATGTCAAAGTAATACAGAAGCATATGCAAACAATCCTAAGAACCACAGACAATATACTCACAGCAGGGGTACCTCTCCTGCAGAGGCTCAAAGGTTCCGGCTCTTGACTTCTGTTCTTCTGAATTAAGGCTGTGGAGTCTCGAGGGCCCAGTGTCGGGTTTCAGAAAGGGCGGCACTCAGCTTGATGGACTGGTTGTTTCAGGTTAGCGGAGGAGAGCTCCAGGACATAGAGTCGTGTGGTACACTCAAAAGTTCCCAGTTCTGAGCTGGTCCTTAAATAGTTTGCTGAATCTTGCTAATCACACTTTGCCACACACCACACATTCTCGATCTTATCTACAATGGCCGGTAGTGACTCCCTTTCTTTTAATCTCCCTCCAGCCAGGCCTTTGCCTGCCTGGTTACAAGCTCCTTACACCAGGCTAGTCTCGAACTCACAGAAAACTGCCTGCCTCTGCCTTCCAAGTGCTGGGACTAAAGGGGTGTGCCACCACCGCCCGGTTGGTGTGTGTTGATTTTTTAAATTTTTATTTATTTACTTTGTTTATTTTTGGTTTTGTAGGGTTTTTTTTTGTTTTTGTTTTTTGTTTTTTTTCTGAGACAGAGTTTCTCTGTGTAGCTTTGGAGCCTATCCTGGCACTCGATCTGGAGACCAGGCTGGCCTCGAACTCACAGAGATCCGCCTGCCTCTGCCTCCCAAGTGCTGGGATTAAAGGCGCGCGCCACCAACGCCCGGCTTGTAGTTGTTTTTTGAATCAGGGTTTCTCTAGCTTTGGATCCTATCCTGGAACTTGCTCTGTAGATCAGGCGGCCTTGAACTCATAGAGATTCATCTGTCTCTTCCTCCAGAGTGCTAGGATTACAGGCGTACATCACCACTGCCTGGCAAGTTTTGTTTTTTATACAGTGTCTCTCTATAGCTCTGACTATCCTGGAACTCCCTATGTAGACCAGGCTGGCCTGGAACTCAGAGATTCTTCTGCCTCTGTCTCCCAAGTGCTGGGATTAAAGGTGTGCGCCACCATCCCTGACTATTGTAATTGTTATAAATATAGCCTATAGATTGAATTTAGCTCCAAGTGCCCTGAGCTATCTTTGCAACCAAGAAATTTATTTTGGGGTATTATTTTTATATGCAGAGATTGTAAATTTAGCTCCAAGTGCCCTGAGCTATCTTTGCAACCAAGAAATTTATTTTTGGGTATTATTTTTATATGCAGAGATTGTAAGTCACCATCTATAAATCCAGGGCTCTCAAATCTCCCTACAGACCAGAACTCCATATGAATTAAACTGTAATTCACAGTTTAATAAGGTAGGGATGTATAATTAATGATGCTTGTAGGCAGGGCTAGGTGATAGGTTTTGTTCTGAACATTACCTGAGAAGCTATCTTGCCAGCCCAAGAAAATATAATTTAATTTTAGATATGTTAAGCTTGAAGTTGGCCATAGTAGTGTATGTCTGTAATCTCGGGAGGCCGAGGCAGGGGGATAGAGTGTTTGAGACCAGCCTGGGAAAGGAGCAGAAGGGAGAGAGATGAGGGGCAGGTAGAAGGTAGAGGAGCCGTGGAGAAGGGAGATGCTGAGTTGGAAGTACTTGTCAATAACCCAAGTACACCCAGTCCACAGCTCTACTTTGGAGACTAGCAGAGAAGTCTGGGATGTAGGTAGATTTGGGAGCCCTGGATTTATCGATGGTAACACAGCACGGCATCTATGAGATTGTCCAGGGATAGCATATGCAGAGTGAGAAATGAATATGGAAAATTTGAAGGTCAGAGATGAGGAAACACAGGTCTCTATAGCTTCATACTACCCAAGCTAGACCAACAGCTGCCCCCAGATATCTTCAAGCCCCCAGATCATGGGGAACGGTGGAAATTTAGAATGTCTTGACTCTCTCTTTCTTTTTGCTAGTTGCCAAATACAGACTCCAGCTAGTTGAACCACCAAGACTGCCTTTAGAAAAAAAACCCAACCCTGATAAAGATGGTAAGTAGTGAGCTCTGTGGACAAAGTTCTGTTTCCTGAGCTGGGATCACCTTGTTCCCCAAAGCCAGTGAGTTATGGGAAACCTTTTCCTCTGCACAGGTCCAGATATTAAGCCGAATCTGTGGATGTGGGTGAGCCCGAACATTGTGTATCCTCCCGGCAAGCTGGAGGTCGAGAGACCTAAAAAGGACCCGCTAAGCGTGCTGCCTTCCCGAGATGCAGCCGTGAAGGAGGAAGAAGCCAGCTGTTCGGAAGGTTCAGAGGCACAGGCACGGCTACCTTCCTCCAGCCAGCCATCACGTCCTTGCAAGAGGAAGACGAAGCAGAAGCACATTGCCTCTTCCCCTAGCACCTGGGAGGAGGTATGGACGGATGGGCACAGGGTTGAGGTATCAGCAGCTGGGTGTCTGAGGGCCAGTAAAAGATGAACAAGTTTAGAACTGATCTGTACCCTTGGGTTGGGGAGAAGCCCAGATGGTGGATTCTAGACTGCTCCCCCAACTGCCATTGTAGCCTGGAGCTGAGGCCAAGGAGTCAGGACCAGATCCTACTCTGTGCCCCTCTAGCTTACAGAAGAGGAGGAGGCCAAGGACCAGGATGACAGCTCCTCTGTGGCTCTCCCATCCCTTCCCACAAGGGCCCCCCTCCAGAGACGGAGGAGGCTTCAACAAGCTATCAGCCCAGAGGGGAAGCACTGGTCCCGCCCCCCTCTCAATTACTTCCAACTAATTGCCCTGGCACTCAGAAACAGTCCCCCCTGTGGCCTCAACGTACAGGAGATCTACAGCTTCACTCGGTATGTGCCCAGGGGGCCCTGTGAGGAGGGAAAGGGGAGGGTCAGGGTTTAGTAACTTCCAACCTGGCCCTGGGCTGCTGACTCAGTTTCCCCATCTGGGTCTGAGGATATATTATGTGCCTTCCTGGTTTTCTTTCCCCAGGCAAATGTATGCCCTACCCCATGTTTAGGAACATAATCACTCCCATCCCCCTCTCACCTCTTAAAACTCAACCTTCCCTCAATGTCAATCCACCTGGGTCAAGTTGCAGTTTCTCCCACCCTGCCTCTAAAGATCAGCCAGGATAAAATCCAATATTCCCAACATTTCCCGCCTATTGCTCCTTAGACTGTCCTGCATGCATAGAGCCCTATACCCCCTGGGGCCAAGGAAGCCTCACTGGGAATTTGCTTTTAGTGAGTGTCTGTGTGTAAGGTCATTGAAATCAAAATTAGGGCCTCATCATTTTTTTTTTTTTTTTTTTTAGGGCCTCATTTATGAGACAAGGTCTCACTTTGTAGCTCTGACTTGCCTGGATTTCACTATATAGACTAGACTAGGCTTGATTTTGTGTTTTTGGTTTTGGGTTTTGGTTTTTGGAGACAGGGTTTCTCTGTGGCTTTGGAGCCTGTCCTAGAACTCGCTCTGGTAGACCAGGCGGGCCTCAAACTCACAGAGATCCACCTGCCTCTGCCTCCCGAGTGCTGGGAGGCCTGTATCACCAATGCCAGGCTAGACTAGGCTTGAAATCAGAGATCTACTTGCCTCTGTCTCCCTAATGACAGAGTTTCTCTGTAGCTCTGACTATCCTTGAACTCACTACGTAGACCAGACTAACCTCAAAATCAGAGGCCCACCTTCCTCTGCCTCCTAAAATGCTGGGATTAAAGGTGTGATACTGCGACTGGATAACATTTAGCTTTGTGAGTCTGGGGGAGGCCTTCCCTAGTATTAGGCAAAGAGCCCAGTATCTCAACATGTTTGTTTGTTTTCTTGTGGTTTGATACAGTTATTGGTTCTGCTTGTTCCTGATGTCAAAACCCCCAGCCCTTGAGGGAGGGGCAAAATGAACCAGGAGTTGGGGACAATAAACTGGATTTAGGAGAAGAAAGTTGGCATCTTAACATGGTGGCATAGGCCTGTAATCTCAGCACTTAGAGGTAGAGGTAGAAGGCAGACCAAGAGTTTATGGTCATCCTCAGCTACCCAAAGAGTTCAATGTCAATCTGGGCTACATTCAGACTCAAAAAGATCAAAAGAAACCAGGCGGCAGTTGCACACACCTTTAATCCCAGCACTTGGGAGGCAGAGACTGGTGGATCTCTGTGAGTTCAAGGCCACCTTGGTCTACAGAACAAGTTCTTGGACAGGCTCCAAAGCTACAGAGAAACCCTGTCTCGAAAAAATCAAACAACAGCAACAAAATAGTGTTTCATAAGCAATGTCCAGCAAAGGGCCATTCCAGACCAGCCTGCTCAGCTTTACCCTACTAGGAAGTGCTGAAGCTCCAGGCCCTGGGGGAGAACAAGGACCAGAGTAGGTCCTCTACAGGGGAACCACACCCTTCCTTAATTTCCTCCCTGTCCACAGAAAGCACTTCCCCTTTTTCCGGACTGCTCCAGAAGGCTGGAAGAATACAGTGCGTCACAATCTCTGTTTCCGAGACAGCTTTGAGAAAGTGCCAGTCAGTATGCAGGGTGAGGCCAGTGCTCGGCCTCGATCCTGCCTCTGGAAGCTGACTGAGGAGGGACAACACCGCTTTGCTGAGGAGGCCCGAACCTTGGCTTCCACTCAGCTGGAAAGCATCCAACAGTGCATGAGCCAGCCAGGTGTGAAGCCTTGTCATGAGCGGGTCCAAGGGTGGGGGGCTGGAGGTGCCCACCAGGGTCATACTCTAGGGACATCTGTAGGAAACAGGGAGAATAGGAGTGGATAAGACCCTCTAGTGATGTCTGCTCCTGAGACCATTGTATACAGGAATAGGTGGGCAACTGAGGTTTCAGCTGGCTCTGCTCACAGCCCAGCGTGCTAGGAAATTACATATGAGCTGAGTGAGAAATATGAGGGGTTTTGTGCAAAGACCACTCTTCTATAGCGAGCAGAAAGGCTGCCGAAGAGGTAGCATTGGAGCCTTGAACTCCATGGAACAGCATAGCAGACCCAGGGAAGAGCAGGTCAAGTTTGCAAGCTCCTCCAAACTCTCTTACAGATGTGATGCCCTTCCTCTTTGACCTTCGAGAAGACCCAGCCATGCCCTAATAAATAGTTTCCTTCAGCAACAGTTGTGTGTATGATCTCTGAGGATGGGGCCAAGTGGGGAGTCGAATTCGGCTCCAAGAATAAGAATAGGGGTTGTCTTGGTAGTGGAGGCCCATGACTTTACTTTAATCCCAGCACTAGGAGGCAGAGGCAGGCAGAGCTCTGGATTTGAGGACAGCCTGGGGATACACACAGAGAAACCCTGTCTCAAAAAAAAAAAAAAAAAAAAAAAAAATTCCAGAACAGGTTCCAAAGCGAGAAACCTGTCTTCAAAAACAAAACAACGGGCTGAAGAGATGGCTCAGAGGTTAAGAGCACCGACTGCTCTTCCAGAGGTCCTGAGTTCAATTCCCGGCAACCACATGGTAGCTCCCAACCATCCCTTATGAGATCTGGTGCCCTCTTCTGGTGTGCAGATAATACATGGAAGCAGAATGTGGTTTACATAATAAATAAATAAAATCTTTAAAAAAAAAAACAAAAGGAAAAGAAAATTAGGGGTTCTGGAATGGGTTCTCAGATACTGCTGAGGCACTGGGGCAGGTTCCTGATAGGCATGAAGGGACATGCTTCTTTTTCCTCAATGGAGGAAAACACAATGTTCAACTCTCTTCAGGATCCTAAAGCAAATTTTGTTTTTCTGGGCCACAAAGATCATCTTGGGAGATGCCGGCTTGTAGCAGTCAGCCCTGGAAGTACCACCCACTCCTTCAGCTGACAGCTGTCAAGCAGCTGCTGGTAATAAGCTGAGGACAAGAGACATACTTTGCCTCAGCTGCAAGGGAAGGACGAGCGTGCAGGGATCAGGTCAGCTTGCTTGTTTGAGATGATGTCTTGCTGTGTAGCAGGCTGGCCTTGAATCAAGACCTGCTTACCTTGGCAGCTGGGACTTCAGACATGCCTCGCCATGGCTGGTTTATGTTTGAAAACTGGTGGTGCACACTAATCCCAGCACTCAGGAGGCAAAGGCAGGTGGATCTCTGTGAGTTTGAGGCAGTCTGGCCTATAAAGCAGTTCCAGGACAGCCAGGGCTGTTGGTTACACAGAGAAACCCTGTCTCAAAAATCGAAAGGAAGAAAAAAAGAAAGAAAGAAAAATCCCTCACAGGGGAACTCAGTCATTTGGGTTTTAGTTAATTCCAAATGTAGTCAGGTTGACAACCAGGAACAGTAATCACAAGTCCACCCCCTGTCAACTTGGCACAATCATCTCAAGTCATGTTTAATTTGCAAATGAAAACAAACAAGTCATAATTATGCCTGACATAAGTATCCCATGTACAATATAGCAAATGCATTATATATTTAACTAGGTCATAATTATGCTTAATATGGTAGATACATCTATCCCTCATACAATGGCAAATACAAATTTTAGAATAGGCAATGTCCCTTAAGGGATACTCTTTTAGTATCTCGAATGTAACCACTGATATTCTCTTAATTGATGTTACATCCCATGATAAAGAAATTGACAGAAAACACAAATATCTGTACAAACACATTCTTAACAAAATATGACAAACACTCTTGTCACTTAGAAACTTGTTACTGCAACTGGTAACGTGGCCTCACCTGGTGTTTACAACTACCTTCCTCTTCTACCCATTCTGTACTTCCTGTACCCTCAGCAAGCACCTCAGTAGGTCTTGGCTCTTTTCCTGGAGGAGTGGCCCATGCCTTCATTCCTGAAGGGTCTGGACCCTTTGTCATCCTGCCTGGATTAGGATGTTGTAGTTTCCCATTGACTTTAATCACAGGACGTGAAAGCACCAATAGATGCCCTAAGGATCTCCTGCACTCAATCCAATTTCCCCATGGTAATCTGAATCAACCACCCTTCCTAACACTGTTAGTCCTTTCTTAGCTTGTTGGCTTAAGGGCATCAGTAACCCAAAGTGGCCTGGGGAAAATCTGAGTTTCCTGATCAATGGAATGTTTGTTGTATCTTCTGGCAGGTATTCTCCCCATCAGGAACCAAAATTTATAGGCCAGCAGAGCTTAAGATCATGGAACAGAAAGCAAAATAATTCCTAGTGGGTCACTAAGGGTGGAAGTGAGTGGAACTCCTTGATTCCTGGACCCATGAGTCTTGGCTATGGTAGAAACCATGCCATAAATTGGTTGCTGATTCAAAGCATATACTGCCTTCTGAAGAACCCTGCACTAGCCATCCAAGGTTGCTGCCACCTAATTAGTGCAGTAACTGTGTCATCAAGAGGCCATTCCTTCTTTCTATCAAGCCAGCTGCTTCAGGATGGTGGGGAACATGGTAAGACCAGTGGATTCCGTGACCGTGGGCCCACTGTTGCACTTCCCTGACTGTGAAGTGAGTTCCCTAGTCAGAAGCCGTATTAGGTGGAATACCAAAACTGTATAAAACATTCTCTAAATCCATGGATGGTGGTTTTGACAGAAGCAGTATGTGCAGGAAAGCCAAATCTATAAGCAGAGTAGATATCTACTCCAGTAAGGACAAAGTAGTGTCCTTTCCACAAAGACAGTGGTCCAATGTATTCAGCCTACCACCAGGTCACTCATTGGCTAATCACTCCAGGGAATGGTGCCAAATCTGGGGTTTAGTGTTTATCTCTGCTGTGGGCACATCTGGCACTCAGCAGCAGCTGTAGCCAGATCAGTCTTGGTGTCAGTCCGTGTTGTTAAGTCCATGCATAACCCTCATTTCTGCCACCATGGCCACTTTGTTCATGGGCCCATCGGCAATGACTGGAATGGCTGGAGAAAGTGACTGGTCACAGAATGGGTTGTGCTATCTGCTTGATTACTGAATTCCTTCTCTGCTGAAGTTGCCTTTTGATGGGCATTTACATTGGACATTTCAAGTCCCTGACCATCCAGTCAGTCCATTGGCTACAGACCATGAATGAATAAGTGAACAGTTGCACATATGGCCATTTCTCCCTCCAAGTGAAATGTACTGCCCTAAGTTCTGCCCACTGGTGTCTTACAGGGTTGTCCCAAAAAGGAGTTGTAATGCTGTAACTATCCACTTCTGAGGGGTTCCTGCAGAGCCATCAGTAAAACAGGCAGAAAGAAGGCACTAGTCTTCTCTGCCCTGGTCTACTGGTCATAGGGCATACCCCATGAGGCTACAGCTGCATGCTTGGCAGCAGATGGCATTGCAATAGGTGTAGAAACCAGACATTTTGGCAGCTTCTTCATGTAACTTTCAGGACCTGCTTGGGCCCCATCTCTATATACCACTTCCATTCGATAATAGATTGCTGCTGTGCACACCCTACTTTATGACTTGTTGCATCCAATAACACCCAGCTCATGATGAACAGCTCAGTTTGCATAGTAACTTGGTGTCCCATTGTCAAAAGTTTCCACTAAGGCCTAAGAGCAGGCCAAGAGCTGTCTCTCAAAAGAATAGTTGTCTGCAGATGATGGTAGAGCCTTGCTCCAAAAACCCAAAGGTCTCTTTGTGATTTAGCTATATAGGGATCTGCCAAAGGCTCCAAACAACATCCCTGTCTGACACTGACACCTCAAGTACCATTAGGTCTGCGGGATCATATGGTCCAAGTGATAGAGCAGCCTGCACAGCAGCCTGGACTTGCTGAAGAGCCTTCTGCTCCACCACTACTAGCAGCTTTCCGAATCACTTGGTGTGTGGGGAGTAACACACCCAAGTGAGGAATGTGCTGTCTCCAGAATCTAAGTAGGCCCACTAAACAGTGTGCTTCTTTCTTGGTGGTGGGAGGGGCCAGATACAACGTTTATCTTTTATCTTAGAATATCTCGGGCTTGGGAGATGGCTCAGCAGTTAACAGTACTGGTTGCTCTTCCAGAGGACCTGGGTTCAATTCCCAGCACCAACATGGCAGCTCACAATTGTATGTAACCCAGCTCCAGTGATCTGACACCGTCATAGACATACATGCAGGTAAAACACCAATGCACACGAAATAAAAATAAATACATCATTAATAAAAAAAAAAAAGAAAGCATATCTCTGCATGCCTCACACAACTGGGCTCCTAAAAATTTCACTGAGGTAGAAGGCCCTTGAATTTTGGTTGGTTTTATTTTCCATCCTTAATGTGTTACCAACAAGTCCTGTTCACTAGGTCCAATCAGCATAATGTCATATAGAGAACCAATGTGATATTTTGTGGAAGAGACAAATGAGTAAGATCCCTTCTAACTAAGTTATGACACAGGACTGGCGGGTTAATATATCCCTGAGGTAAAACTGTAAAGGTAAATTTCTGGCCTTGCCAACTGAAAGCAAATTGTTTCTAGTGGTCTTTATGGATAGGTACCAAGAAAGAGGCATTTTCTTTTTTTAATTTATTTATTTTTATTTTATGTGCATTGGTGTTTTGCCATGGGTGTCAGGTCCCCTGGAACTGGAATTAGAGGCCGTTATAAACTGCCATGTGGGTGTTGGGAATTGAACCCCTGTCCTCTGGAAGAGCAGTCAGTGCTCTTAACCACTGAACCATCTCTCCAAGCCCCAAAAGGCATTTTCTAGATTAATGGCTGTATATTATGTACCAATAGATGTATGTGTTAATCTGCTCAAGGAAGGACACCACATCTGGTAGAGCAGCTGCAATTGGAGTCCCTACCTGATTGAGTTTTTGATAGTCAGCTGTCATTCTCCCATGATCCATCTGTCTTTTTCATTGGACAGAGTTAAAGGGCAAGTGGCAGGAACCACCACCCCTCCATCTTTAAAAAAAATAAATAGGTTTGGTGTGGGGGTTAGGGTCAGCATCACTTCTAGTAGCCAAGAACTGAACATGTAGGAGAAGTACATCAAATGTTCCCTGTACACATCCCATTGTGCTTTCAAGCCACTGAGCAGAGTCCTCTGCCCAGCAGTGGGTCAACTTCTAGCCAGCATTGGTAGCCCAAAGACCCACAGGGCATGGAGTTCCCATCATACCTGCTCCACAGGCACCTCCAGATCAGAGCCACTTTAGGGGCATCCTGCACTGGTGTCCCAGGAGAGGGGTTCAAAGGGATGAG